TGGGGGGGGGGGTGTTCCCTGCCACACCTTGACAGTGATAGAGCAGGCCTCAAGGAAGGGGCAACTGGGACAGAGAGACTAGAGCAAGCCAGGGATCGGAGGGTCTGAGGTAGGTAGCAGCTTAGCAGTGAGGTAGTGGGTGTTTGCTGGGAGGCAGTGGGCAGGGCAGCATAGGTGTGGGCAGACAGTCTTAGTGCTGACCCAGTAAGGAAATCACATGCCTTCTAAGCCTCCCCAAGGTCATGATGGACAGACCTCCCCAGACCGTCCACTTGACATTCCACTTTGAATGTGTGCAGATGTGGGGCGTCATATGCACAGGTGATGCAGACAGTAGGGATCCATCCCACCTGCTCCGAAGAGGTGGTGAAACTGCACATCTCCAAGCGCTCCGGCCTGGAGCCCACTGTGACTGGATGCTGAGGTTAAGTCACCATCCCTGCCAAGCTGAGGGCACACGCTATGCCATGTGACCAGTACAAGGCTCCTCAGACACCTGGGTCCAGGTGAGCAGGCTTGAAAGGAGCATTTGTGGCTAGAGTCATGGGAGCCACCGTGACAGGCAAGGGTTCCCCACAGGCTGGGCTCTCACAGCGTCTCCTGGTCAGTGTCAAGTGCTGCTCCCTGTGTGCCGTTTGTCCCTGCAGGAAGCACGAGTGATGGTTCATTTCCTTCTTGCCCAGAAGGTGGAGATGCTGCCTTGCACACAGCTGACTGTCCACCACACACATGGCTCTGCAATAGCTTTGTAAAGCCAGGCTGGCCTTCCTTACCAGTCATTGTAGTCCTCTTCTGAGGAAGAAATTGGTGAAGGCCTCCTGCCCCTGCCGTGTCACCTCTGTCTGATGGCACCCTTTAGAAGCCCCAGTCCTCGAGTCTGCATGCTACAGCCCATCCTGGGATGGCTGTCTTGACTATCACCATTTCTTGGTCTGGGTCCTTGGTGACTATTCTCACTGAAGCTGAGTGGGAGGCTATAGAAAGAGTTCTTTGCCCCTCAAGATGCCCTCTATCAGGTCTGAGTCCCAGACACCCAGTGGGTGGTCAGTCTGGTCGGGGGTCCTTGTCCTGGGCCTTCTGGCACCAGCTACACCACAGCTTCCCAGCACCAGGGCTGCATTTGATAAAGAGGGCCCTCTAAGAATGCTCTTACCACAATGTTATACCTTCTGGGTTTTTTTTAAGAGCCCCATATAAGTTTTGATTGAAATATTTTTTTGTAGCAACTGTAGTTGCTCTGATATACCAATCTGGGCAGGCAGGGGTGGGGGACTCTCTTTAAGGGCTTATTTCCAATCCATCTCTCAAGGGTCTCTTGTGGTTTGGGGTGACATAGCTAAGCCAATGTGAGGGTTGGCCTGTGCTGACCCCAACTGTTATTGGCAGGACTGGAAGGCTTTGCTGCCTCCTCAGAGACCCCAGATGTGGATGGAGCACCGTGTGTCCTGCAGGGATGACTGCATGGAGTAGTTACTCCACACCTGCATCCTCTGGCCAATCTTCCCATACTCCAGCGTCAGATGATGATGGCCTGTGCAGAAACCCCATGTGGGCTGCCCAGGCTTGAGAACCCTGGCATTTCTGGAGCATCAATAAAGAGGGTGTTTCCCTAAAGCATGTCTGCTTGTGGTGTCCTCAGGATTGCCCAATGTCACATGGTAGTAGCTTCCAATCAGGATCTGCTGCCACCAGAACCACAGTACATGGAGCCACAGTGTTTTAGTCCTAGAGTTCCCACCAGCCATTGGGAGGAACAACCCTGACCTGACCCTTCCAGTCCCTGCCAGGACACAGCACCTCTCCATTCTCAGCCTGCATTCAGCTACTGGCTCAGATGTGAAGACATCTTTCTAGAGATCCCTCCTGGACCTTTTGCCAAAGTTACTCCTAAGGTCCAGAGGTCACCAAGGGTCAGGAACAGGAGAAAAGGGTTTGCTAGGGTTGTTTTGAGTTTTGTGTCTCTGAACTGAATGCTGCTCTCCTCCTCACTTTCTGCTGTGGACTGGTTTTGGCTAATCCTCCACATTGAAGCTCGATGGGACAGAGAGCACCTGTCAGTCACTGCAGGGAGAGACAGCCCTGTCAGGGAGGGGCAGGGCCCTGCATTATGCTGAGGCTTTAGCAGAGGCTAATCTCGTGTCTTCCTTAAGAAAACATCACTTAGCCTGGCCCCAGGAGCCTTGGATGGGACCCTGCTTGTCAGCCAACAAAGGAATGTGTTTGCACCTTAATGGGCCTACAGGAGTCTGGCTCAAAGTGGAAGTGTGCAGGGTGCTCTCAGGCGCCCAATTAAGACGCCAAGTGCTGTGCTGGGCCCGCCCTCCTGACAAGTGCAGGGCCAGATCAGCCATGTCCTATTTAATGCACCGCTGGTGGCACGCCCCAGCCTGCCAGGATCCTAGGGCGTGGTTGGGGGGGTGGGGTGCTCCTCTAGCTTGAGGTTTTGTCTACCCTTGGAGGCAGAGAGGTCAACTAACACCTGCTGCCTCAGGCCAGTGGGGTGGAAAGCCTCTGGGGCCTGGCCAGGTGTATCCCATGGGACTGCAGCTCTGGGGGCAATCTCTGCCATGTGGGAAAGCAAGCACCTGAAAATGGCCTTGGTGCTGGGTAATGATTGAATTGCCTGTGTCTGGCCCTTTGCACACACTGGCCTGTAGTTTCCTGCCTACCCAGCCAGCCAATGCCATCCATACATTCATGTCCTCAAAGCCCCTTCAGGATAGTTACTGGTCTGTGCACACTGCCCCATTGGGGTCCTCTTAATCCTGTTCTGGCTCCATAGGACTGAGGGAGAGCTCTGAGCCCAGGTCTCACCAGAGCAGGGGGCTGCCTTTGTGGTCTCCTGAGCTTACTCCTGGACCCCCATAGCTAGGCCAGTGTGTGCAGCTGCATTGGCTGACCCCAAAGGTAAGGGCCTCCTTTTACATCCTCTTCCCAGAGCAAAATATGCATCAGGGCATTTGCCCCTGGAATCTTGGTCTTAGCCTGTGCCAGCCTCTAGGAGGTCCAGACATCCACAAATCCATGTTCTATGGCTTCAGATCCTAGCTCCCTCTGTACTCCTGAAAAATGGGGAGCAGGAGTCTGGCCAACTCACAGGCAGCAAGTGCTGCAGAGGAAAGACTGCCACAGGGATGAGCCACCACCCAAGCTATCTTTGGAGCTAGCCAGTGTAGCCCCACACATTGGCCTGGCTGTAGAGCCCAGGAGCAGGAGACACAAAGGCAGCCCAGTGCTCTGGTGAGACCTGACCCCAGAGCCCTCACTCAGTCTTGTGTGGAGAACAGAATCAGGAAGTCCCCAACAGGGCAGTGTGCACAGACCAAGGTGCTACTCACCAAGGGTTGTTGTGCCCTGTGCTGAAGGCAGCAAATGCCAAGGAGCAGGACCCATGGATGAGCTGCATCAGCAATGGTATCTGTCCTGAGTGTCTGCACCTCCTAGTTGCAGGATCACTGCAGGGCCAGTCCCCTCTCTGGACCAGAAAATGCAACAAGGGCTAGAATGCCCCAGGGCCAGGTGCTCCCCATCCCAGAGCCAGGTGCTCCCCTGGGCCTCCTCTTCTCTGCCTTTGCATGTTTTTATGATGCAATGAAAATATGTTTTTAATTCCTCAGATTGTTCCATGTAACCTGCAATTACCCCCGGCAATACTTTACACACCTCTGCTTGTGGCTCTGGATTGCGCAAGGACATGGGAAGGAAAGGAGTTGGTAGGAGCTCCCTCCCTGCCTGACTACCCTGGGAAGGAGAATGGAGCACCTGGCCCCTAGCGCCTTGCCCCGGCCCACACCATCCCCACTTCATGCTGTCCTGAGATCCCTGTGCAGCAGGCACAGAGAAGGGTGACAGGTGCTTTTGAGGACCAGGCTGAGGGTACAGTAGTGAAGGACAGATCCCAGCAAGACTCTGAGAGGGTTCTGAGGCAAACAGTAGAGCAGCTGAGACTGTAGCACACACACCCATTCTGCATATCACAAACCCCTGGGGACCCCTACCTCTGCTCAGCTGGCAGCAGGGATGTGTGTCCCTACTGTGCTTTGCTGACTGTGGAGATTATTTCCATGTCCTAGCTGGGCACCCTTGCCAGAAAGTGTACTTGCCTGTGAGAAACAGCAGTGACTGCCTGAGGCCTCAGACATGAGCTTGTGCCTGAGATCCACATTTTTGTTCTTTGCTACCTTGGCATATGACTCAGTTCCACAGTTCCAGCAGTGGTGCCCAAATAGAACCCAGGAGGTGCCACCAGTGTCTGGGACCCTGGCCCCAGTGTGATGTAGAACCAGGCAAGCTTAACCCCCCACCTAGGACTCACATACTGAATGCTACCTGGAGCTATGGGCAAGCTAGGACTTAAGAACATCTTGAGACAGCTGCCCAGCATGTCTGTCAAATAGGCTGTGTCTTTGAAGAGACCTAGGACTAAAAGACCATGTCACTATTCAAGCTCAAGATCTCCCTGATCAGGAGGCTTCATCAAATGAGACGCATGATTGTGTCTGCACTGGACTGTCCTTTCCTGCTCCTCTCACTCTTGCCTTGCCTGTCCCTCTGGATGCTACTTCCCTGCACCTCATAACCTTGGGTGACATACTCCAGGCAAGGGCCCCTCCTTCCAATGCATGACCAAATGCACTTTACTCTCCTGGCCCGGCCTCTGCCTGTCCTCCTACCTCCCTAGTCAGTTCACCCTTAGCTCCACATGGCATACACAGTGGGAATGATGTGTGCAGGTCATACCTAGACATGGGTGGGCATTCCCATAGCTAGAGGCCAGCAGGCAGGCACTGGATGCGTAGGAGTGGACCACACAGACCTAACTCCCTTTGGAAGCATCTGTGAATTAATTCTCCATCCATATGACCTGAGACAGGCCTAGCTCCTGGGGGCCAACCCCAACCCAGGAGGAAGGTGTACTCTTCTGATGGAGGATGTCCTTCTGTATATATGTTTCTCTTCTTGGTTGATGAATAAAACACTGTTTGGCCAATAACCAGTAGAGGCAGCAAGATAGGTGGGACTAGGAGATGAGGAGAATTCTGGGAAAGGTAGGCAGAGAGGTGCAGCAGGAGGCGCCATGGAGGAACCGGGAGGGTAGGGTGTGCCAGGCATTCTCCATTAAGATAAGGCCATGTAGAAACACATAGATTAATAGAAATGGGTTAATAAGAGATCTAGCCAATAAGAAGCCCTATCCATCAGCCAGCAGTTTAATAATAAATATAAGTCTTTGTGTGCTTATTTGGGGCTGAAGGGTGGCGGGATAAGAACCTCCAGCAACACTCTTCTGGCCCAAAATTTGCAGGCTGTGGACTTACTACTGGGTAGGAACAAGGGCTTCCAGACTCTGTCTCCTGGGCATCTGTGGAACTCAAGCAGCAGTCCTGGTCTTTGTTAGTGTTCTGTTGCTGTGAAGAGACGCAATGACCATAGCAACTCTTTAATTGGGGCTTGCTTACAGTTTTAGAGGTTTAGTCCATTTCCCCCCCCCCCCATGGTGGGGAGCATGGTGGCATGCAGGCAGACATGGTGCTGGAGAAGGAGCTGAAAGTTTTACATCCTGATCCACAGGCAGCAGGAAGAGAAAGAAAGACTGCGCCTGGTTTGGGCCCTTGAAACCTCAAAGCCCACCCCCAGTGACACACTTCCTCCAACAATAAGTCCACATCTCTGAATCCCTCCCAAGTAGTGCCACTCCCAGATGACTAAGCATTCAAACATCTGAGCCTATGGGGGCCGTTCTTATTCAAACCACCACATCCCCCAAACCTTCCCTAATGGGCCTTCAGCACCAAAGATGTCTCCCTGAGGAACGTGAGCTAAGCACAAGCCTCTGTACCATTTAAGCTGGCTTCATCCTGTCTCCTCTCCTTGTCCCCACAAGGTGCTTTTTCCAGTGCAAGTCCAGAGCCAGCAGAATCCATGCGGCTTTGTTTTCTGATCCAGGCTCAGGCTGCACTGCTATGGGCTGCTCCTCAAGTGCTTCCTGAGCTAGGCAAAGACACAAATAAATAAATGGAGCCACACACTTATGCCTTGCAGTGGAATGCAACAGGAGGGCGCTGCCAGACCTAAGCCCCCCTCGACCCTCACAGCCAGGGAAGGATCTTATTGGTGCTTTGACTGGCTTCTTCCAGGTGTGATGGGAGATTCCCCAGTTCTGTGTAGACACAGCAGTCCTGCCACAGCCATGCCATAGGTTGCTCAGCAGCCCTCCCAGAGAGAGGGTAGAGAAAAAAGGAGTTTCCCAGAGAGGCTGGTGAGGGCTTGCCCAATCATGACCCAAGATACTCAGGATGTTGAATAACTGAACACAAGATTCTTCAACACAGGTGCCAGGAGACCTCGAGGAGATGATGGTGGCCCCTGCACCTCTCCATGCAGTGTCATGTCATACTCATGCCTGACATTGCCCATCTTGTGTGGCCCAGGTCCTCCAAAGGTCCAACATGGATGCTGTTCACTCTGAATGGGGAACTGTCCTGGGAGGAGGAGGAACAGGAGGCCCATTTGATGGTGACCTTGTGACCTTGATGGTGAGGCAGCCAGAGCTATGGCTGCTCAACCATGGGCAGCTGCTGGCCCTCACTTTCCTGCAGAGCCACCCTGAGCATCCC